GCAGAACGACCAAGATCTAAGTTGACCTCTCCTAACCTGCATTCTCGTTAGTTATCCTTTGACCCTATTACCAACCCTGTATCTATGGCAGGAAGATAAAGGACAACTGTGGTCAGTGAGGAAGCTTACAATTTTCCCACAACAATTACCAGGGACTTATGTTTTGTTTGTTTGCCATCTCACCAAAACTGATTTGGCAGGAAAGAGTGAACAACAGCAGACTGGATACATCTTTACCCCGTACCACCATCAGAGCTGTCACATGGCAAGTATGTCCTGTATCAACGGGACCCTCCCAAACATACCAAATGTATTTATCCACATACCATTTATTCCCTTATCTAATTCCATGTCAATTCACATTTATCATCCAGCTAATATTTTCGGTTACTTCGCTTATATCCATATAAAATCCCAGTCAGCATAATTTCTCTTGACTTAATTTTCTTATTTCATACACACATCCATGGAGGATAGAACATATCACCTATCCTTCTAATCTGACTCAATGTTTTCTTTCCTTTCTTTCATTGCACATCTTCCATTTTTTCAGTACATCTTCTCATAATCTACCTTACTCAGTGATTGTTTTCACAATTTCTGCTTCCCATTTTTTCCCCCCTTGCTGCCCTTTAGAGAACTCTTTGCTTCCTGTTCCTGTAGATTTGTATCGCTCTTCCTTCTGCTTTTTGTTCCATCAAGATTTTTCTCTCACAGCCTCTGTGTTGCTTTTCCTTTCAACATGTTTCTCTCGCAGCTGCTGTGCATATTTTTAATTGTCCCATCAATATTTGTTTGCCTTTTCGTCTAGCCCTGTAATTCCTTCCATTGCTACCAAGTGAATGTTTCCTCCCTCTAAAATTTATCTCTTTCATTGTTTCCCTTACTGCCCCTTCAAGGTAACCTTGTCTCCCATGTCTATCTCTTTCACTGTTTCCCTTACTGCCCCTTCAATGTAACCTGGTCTCCCATATCTGTCTCTTTCATTGTTTTCCTTACTGTCCCTTCAAACTTTCACTGTTTCCCTTACTGCCCCTTCAATGTAACCTGGTCTCCCATATCTGTCTCTTTCATTGTTTTCCTTACTGCCCCTTCAAGGTAACTGTCCCATCAATATTTGTTTGCCTTTTCGACTAGCCCTGTAATTCCTTCCATTGCTACCCAGTGAATGTTTCCTCCCTCTAAAATTTATCTCTTTCATTGTTTCCCTTACTGCCCTTCAAGGTTTCCTTGTCTCAAATGTCTGTCACTTTCATTGTTTCCCTTACTGCCCCTTCAAGGTAACCTGGTCTCCCATGTCTATCTCTTTCATTGTTTTCCTTACTGCCCCTTCAAGGTAACCTTGTCTCACATGTCTGTCTCTTTCATTGTTACCCTTACTGCCCCTTCAAGGTAACCTGGTTTTCCTTGTCTCAAATGTCTGTCTCTTTCATCGTTTCCCTTACTGCCCCTTCAAGGTGACCAGGTCTCCCATGTCTGTCTCTTTCATTATTTTCTTTCCTTTCAACATGTTTCTCTCGCAGCTGCTGTGCATATTTTTAATTGTCCCATCAATATTTGTTTGCCTTTTCGTCTAGCCCTGTAATTCCTTCCATTGCTACCCAGTGAATGTTTCCTCCCTCTAAAATTTATCTCTTTCATTGTTTCCCTTACTGCCTCTTCAAGGTTCCCTTGTCTCCCATGTCTGTTTCTTTCATTGTTTTCCTTACTGCCCCTTCAAGGTAACCTGGTCTCCCATGTCTGTATGTTTCATTGTTTTACTTCCTGCCCCTTCAAGGTAACCTTGTCTCACATGTCTGTCTCTTTCATTGTTACCCTTACTGTCCCTTCAAGGTTTCCTTGTCTCACATGTCTGTCTCTTTCATTCTTTTCCTTACTGCCCCTTCAAGGTAACCTGGTCTCCCATGTCTGTCTCTTTCACTGTTTCCATTACTGTCCCTTCAAGGTTTCCTTGTCTCACATGTCTGTCTCTTTCATTGTTACCCTTACTGCCCCTTCAAGGTAATCCTGTCTCCCATGTCTGTCTCTTTCATTGTTTCCCTAAGTGTCCTCTCAATGTAACCTTGTCTCCCATGTCCGTCTCTTTCATTGTTTCCCTAAGTGTCCTCTCAATGTAACCTTGTCTCCCATGTCTGCTTCTTTCATTGTTACCCTTACTGCCCCTTCAAGGTAACCTGGTCTCCCATGTCTGTATGTTTCATTGTTTTACTTCCTGCCCCTTCAAGGTAACCTTGTCTCCCATGTCTATCTCTTTCACTGTTTCCCTTACTGCCCCTTCAAGGTGACCAGGTCTCCCATGTCTGTCTCTTTCATTCCCTTACTGCCCCTTCAAGGTAACCTGGTCTCCCATGTCTGTATGTTTCATTGTTTTACTTCCTGCCCCTTCAAGGTAACCTTGTCTACCATGTCTGTCTCTTTCATTGTTTTACTTACTGCCCCTTCAAGGTAACCTTGTCTCCCATGTCTATCTCTTTCACTGTTTCCCTTACTGTCCCTTCAGGGTTTCCTTGTCTCAAATGTCTGTCTCTTTCATCGTTTCCCTTACTGCCCCTTCAAGGTGACCAGGTCTCCCATGTCTGTCTCTTTCATTCCCTTACTGCCCCTTCAAGGTAACCTGGGCTCTCATGTCTGTCTCTTTCATTGTTTTCCTTACTGTCCCTTCAAACTTTCACTGTTTCCCTTACTGCCCCTTCAAGGTTTCCTTGTCTCACATGTCTGTCTCTTTCATTGTTACCCTTACTGCCCCTTCAAGGTAACCTGGTCTCCCATGTCTGTTTCTTTCATTGTTTTCCTTACTGCCCCTTCAATGTAACCTGGTCTCCCATATCTGTCTCTTTAATTGTTTTCCTTACTGCCTTCAAGGTTTCCTTGTCTCCCCATGTCTGTCTCTTTCATTGTTATCCTTACTGCCCCTTCAAGGTAACCTGGTCTCCCATGTCTATCTCTTTCATTGTTACCCTTACTGCCCCTTCAAGGTAACCTGGGCTCTCATGTCTGTCTCTTTCATTGTTTTCATTACTGTCCCTTCAAGGTAACCTTGTCTCCCATTTCTGTCTCTTTCATTCTTTTCCTTACTGCCCCTTCAAGGTAACCTGGTCTCCCATATCTGTCTCTTTAATTGTTTTCCTTACTGCCTTCAAGGTTTCCTTGTCTCCCCATGTCTGTCTCTTTCATTGTTACCCTTACTGCCCCTTCAAGGTAACCTGGTCTCCCATGTCTGTTTCTTTCATTGTTTTCCTTACTGCCCATTCAATGTAACCTTGTCTCCCATGTCTGCTTCTTTCATTGTTACCCTTACTGCCCCTTCAAGGTAATCCTGTCTCCCATGTCTGTCTCTTTCATTCCCTTACTGCCCCTTCAAGGTAACCTGGTCTCCCATGTCTGTCTCTTTCATTCTTTTCCTTACTGCCCCTTCAAGGTAACCTGGTCTCCCATGTCTATCTCTTTCATTGTTACCCTTACTGCCCCTTCAAGGTTTCCTTGTCTCAAATGTCTGGCACTTTCACTGTTTCCCTTACTGTCCCTTCAGGGTTTCCTTGTCTCAAATGTCTGTCTCTTTCACTGTTTCCCTTACTGCCCCTTCAAGGTAACCTGGTTTCCCATGTCTGTCTCTTTCATTGTTTACCTTACTGTCCCTTCAAAGTAACCTTGTCTCCCATGTCTGTCTCTTTCACTGTTTCCATTACTGTCCCTTCAAGGTTTCCTTGTCTCAAATGTCTGTCACTTTCACTGTTTCCCTTACTGCCCCTTCAATGTAACCTGGTCTCCCATATCTGTCTCTTTAATTGTTTTCCTTACTGCCTTCAAGGTTTCCTTGTCTCCCATGTCTGTCTCTTTTATTGTTTCCCTTACTGCCCCTTCAAGGTAACCTGGTCTCCCATATCTGTCTCTTTCATTGTTTTCCTTACTGTCCCTTCAAGGTTACCTTGTCTCCCATGTCTGTCTCTTTCATTGTTTCCCTAAGTGTCCTCTCAATGTAACCTTGTCTCCCATGTCTGTCTCTTTCATTGTTTCCCTTACTGCCCCTTCAAGGTTTCCTTGTCTCCCATGTCTGTCTCTTTCATTGTTACCCTTACTGCCCATTCAAGGTAATCTTGTCTCCCATGTCTGTCTCTTTCATTGTTTTTCTTACTGCCCCTTCAAGGTTTCCTTGTCTCCCATGTCTGTCTCTTTCATCGTTTTCTTACTGCCCCTTCAAGGTTTCCTTGTCTCCCATGTCTGTCTCTTTCATTGTTTTCCTTACTGCCCCTTCAAGGTAACCTGGTCTCCCATGTCTGTCTCTTTCATTGTTTCCCTTACTGTCCCTTCAAGGTTCCCTTGTCTCCCATGTCTGTCTCTTTCATTGTTTCCCTTACTGCCCTTTTAAGGTTCCCTTGTCTCCCATGTCTGTCTCTTTCATTGTTTCCCTTACTGCCCCTTTAAGGTTCCCTTGTCTCCCATGTCTGTTTCTTTCATTGTTTTCCTTACTGCCCCTTCAAGGTTTCTTTGTCTCCCATGTCTGTCTCTTTCACTGTTTCCCTTACTGTCCCTTCAAGGTAACCTGGTCTCCCATGTCTGTCACTTTCAATGTTTCCCTTACTGTCCCCATGTCTGTCTCTTTTATTGTTTTCCTTACTGCCTTCAAGGTTTCCTTGTCTCCCATGTCTATCTCTTTCATTGTTTCCCTTACTGCCTCTTGAAGGTTTCCTTGTCTCCTATGTCTGTCTCTTTCATTGTTACCCTTACTGTCCCTTCAGGGTTTTCTTGTCTCAAATGTCTTTCTCTTTCATTGTTTCCCTTACTGTCCCTTCAAGGTTTCCTGGTCTCCACTGTCTGTCTCTTTCATTGTTTCCCTTACTGTCCCTTCAAGGTAACCTGGTCTCCCATGTCTGTCTCTTTCACTGTTTCCCTTACTGTCCCTTTAAGGTTTCCTTGTCTCCCATGTCTGTCTCTTTCACTGTTTCCCTTACTGCCCATTCAATGTAACCTTGTCTCCCATGTCTGTTTCTTTCATTGTTTCCCTTACTGTCCCTTTAATGTAACCTTGTCTCCCATGTCTGTCTTTTTCATTGTTTCCCTTACTGCCCCTTCAATGTAACCTTGTCTCCCATGTCTGTCTCTTTCACTGTTTCCCTTACTGCCGATTCAATGTAACATTGTCTCCCATGTCTGTCTCTTTCATTGTTTCCCTTACTGTCCCTTTAATGTAACCTTGTCTCCCATGTCTGTCTTTTTCATTGTTTCCCTTACTGCCCCTTCAATGTAACCTTGTCTCCCATGTCTGTCTCTTTCACTGTTTCCCTTACTGTCCCTTCAAGGTAACCTGGTCTCCCATGGCTGTCTCTTTCATTGTTTCCCTTCCTGCCCCGTCAAGGTTTCCTGGTCTCCCATGTCTGTCTCTCTCATTGTTTCCCTTACTGCCCCTTCAAGGTAACCTGGTCTCCCATGTCTTTCTCTTTCACTGTTTCCCTTACTGTCCCTTCAAGGTAACCTGGTCTCCCATGTCTGTCTCTTTCACTGTTTCCCTTACTGTCCCTTTAAGGTTTCCTTGTCTCCCATGTCTGTCTCTTTCATTGTTTCCCTTACTGTCCCTTCAAGGTTCCCTTGTCTCCCATGTCTGTCTCTTTCATTGTTTTCCTTACTGCCCCTTCAAGGTTCCCTTGTCTCCCATGTCTGTCTCTTTCATTGTTTCCCTTTCTGTCCCTTCAATGTAACCTGGTCTCCCATGTCTGTCTCTTTCACTGTTTCCATTACTGTCCCTTCAAGGTTTCCTGGTCTCCCATGTCTGTCTCTTTCACTGTTTTCCTTACGCCCCCTTCAAGGTTTCCTGGTCTCCCATGTCTGTCTCTTTCATTGTTTTCCTTACTGCCTTCAAGGTTTCCTTGTCCCCCCATGTCTGTCTCTTTCATTCTTTTCCTTACTGCCCCTTCAAGGTAATCCTGTCTTCTTTCATTGTTTCCCTTACTGTCCCTTCAAGGTTTCCTTGTCTCCCATGTCTGTCTCTTTCATTGTTTTCCTTACCGCCCCTTCAATGTAATCTGGTCTCCCATGTCTGTCTCTTTCATTCTTTTCCTTACTGCCCCTTCAAGGTAACCTGGTCTCCCATGTCTGTCTCTTTCATTGTTTTCTTTACTGCCCCTTCAAGGTAACCTTGTTTCCCATGTCTGTCTCTTTCATTGTTTTCCTTACTGCCCCTTCAAGGTAACCTTGTCTCCCATGTCTGTCTCTTTCATTGATTTCCTTACTGCCCCTTCAAGGTGACCAGGTCTCCCATGTCTGTCTCTTTCATTGTTTTCCTTACAGCCCCTTCCAGGTAACCTCCCTTCAAGGTAACCTCGTCTCCCATGTCTGTCTCTTTCATTGTTACCCTTACTGTCCCTTCAAGGTTTCCTGGTCTCCCATGTCTGTCTCTTTCATTGTTTCCCTTACTGCCCCTTCAAGGTTTCCTGGTCTCCCATGTCTGTCTCTTTCACTGTTTCCCTTACTGTCCCTTCGATGTAACCTTGTCTCCAATGTCTATCTCTTTCATTGTTTCCCTTACTGCCTTTTTAAGATTTTCTTGTCTCCATTTTCTGTCTCGTTGAATGCTTCCCTTGCTGCCTTTGCACAGTTTTCTTGTCTCCAAAGTGTCTTTTTGATTTTTGTATTTGCTACCTCTTCTCGTTTTCTCTTGTCTCCTGTTTCTGTCCCTTTGCTTCCCTTTCAAGGTGATTTCTTTGCCCCCCTTCCCCCTCTCCCCACCAGCCCCTTCTTGCCTTCTTGGCTTAACTAATCCCCTTTCTACGCCTATTTCTATGTCCTGGTAGATCTATTAGCACTATACTGAGTGCTAATCACCTCCAAGACAGCCCCCTCCCCCTCCACAAACTTTCCTGCTGGAGCTCCTTCACCTGACAATACTAATTACTGTGTGAAGTTTTTAGCCCACTATTTATTTTTGGTAAACATACACAATCACAAACTGGTTTTATAGGGGTCCTCACCAAGTTGACCTCAGATGCAAGATAAATCCTGAGTGATGTGACACTAGGCAGAAAACTGTTAATATACATTCCAGGGTTTTCTTTTTTAAAGATAAAAATGTTTCAATGAATGAGTACCAGCTTATCAACAAAAGCTACCATTCTTTGGCGTGGCTGCACCTATTTATTTTAACCTATTCGTGAAGGGTTAGAATTGTCAAAATACTTTTGTATGTAAAAAGTTTAAATTTCATTTGGCATACTGATTGATGCACATTAATGCACATATGTACACCTTAGCACAATGACACAAAATAAGCACAAAACAATGTGTTAGGGAAATGCAGTAGCATAATTTTCTTCCTGACAGATGTCACTTTCTATTTATACTTCATGAGAGACTAAAGCAATAATTTGTCGTGATGAAACATACACCCATATTTGATCATTGTTAAAGGCAACTTTAAATACCACTTTAAAATGCCTCTCCAGACATTCTCAATTGCTCTCCTATTTCAGACAAACATGTGAAATCTCTCAATAGACGTGGTGCCAAAAGAGAGACTGTCTTTCAAAACAGTTGTTTCTGAAGAAACATGATCTAAGAAAACTATTCTCTAACCTCAAAAACCATTTTGTCACTCAAAACAGATAATATCACACACAGTTGTTCTCTTCAGACAAGTGGTGTCTCAAGACAAATGGTATCGTATGATAGGTTCTTAATTCAGGTTTACAAGACAGATTAACTCTAAAAACAGGTGGTTTTAGTGGTACAGATATAAAGCCAGGTAACTCTCATGAAAGACAATCACACAAGACAGGTTGATTCCCAAAAGAAGGTACTCTCTCAGGAAAGAGAGCCACACAAGCCAGGTTGATTCTCAAGACAAGGTTCTCTCTCAGGAAATAGAGTCACACAAGACAGGTTGATTCTCAAGACAAGATTCTCTCTCAGGAAAGAGAGCCACACAAGACAGGTTGATTCTCAAGACAAGATTCTCTCCCAGGAAAGAGAGCCACACAAAACAGGTTGATTCTCAAGAAAAGATTCTCTCTCAGGAAATAGAGTCACCCAAGACAGGATGATTCTCAAGGCATTGTTCTCTCTCAGGAAAGAGAGCCACACAAAACAGGTTTATTCTTATGAAAAGTTGACCGAAAAACAGGTCTTCTGCTTAAAATATTCAATTTATCTTTTAATCAATAAAATGTCATATAAAAGCAGTTTACTTAACAATCAAACTGGTCTCTAACGACTGGTTCCAGGATACAATATAACACGACCCACAATAAACCATGCATAACATAATCTGACAATGGTGTGAAGGCTAACACAAAGGAGACGACTTTGCAGATGACAGTCAGTTGAATGGTATGACCAAGTAGGGATATAATCACCAAATCAGATTGCCAGTCTTGAAAACACCTTATCTCCTGCCATTGATTTAGCATGAAAATATACCAGCTCTACACATTCAGATGAATTATTTCTCTCCATGGACAGGAAGACTGGGGACAATCTTACTGCAATCATTTTCTCTCTGCAGTTTGTAATTGGGGTTGAATTAAGTGGTAATATCACACCATCAAAAGCCTTTCAAAGACTTTGATTAATAGAATTCAGATTTCATTATCATTTTGCAATGGATTTAACATCCATTTTGTGGAGGAAAATCTGTTTCTATTCACCAAGTCATGACCATATAGAAGCTAGTGCATTGCAGTTTTCCTGTGATAGAACATTATTCAGCAATATGGTATCGGACACTTCTTCGATTTTGTAGCAATTCTAGTCTCCCAGCACCACCATCTTTCAGATTCATTTAAATACCATGTAAAAAAATACAGACAAAAATCTTCATGGTAAATGATTAACAAAACAACTTATAACACAGTAAATACATACATAGACTGCTGCCAGGCGTTATGTAAGAATTTTCTGACATATAAAACTAAACTTGAGTCGACCTTTGTAGCAGGGTCAGATGTTTTTATGCAAATCAGGAGGTGACTAGAAGTCAGGAATTACTGTCAATTTGTGCAGGCAGTTCTGCTAATTGGCTATCCGATCTGTTGTTGATAAGTAACCCCTGAAGGTCAATCAGGGTCAAGTAGTCCTCTTGTATAAGGAAATAATTTCACCAGTGCTGGCTGCAGCAGACTGGTTCTGGAAGCTTGAGCTAGTACACTTATACATACCAGTCAAGTGAGACTTGTCTTTGATCAATCCAATTCCCACTCAAGATGGGGTTGGAAACTTTCTCTAGTATATCAAGATTTCACTTCAAATTTCAAACACAGCGCTACACTTCACTTCAAGTATGACTGCAACAAGAGTAACAGCCACGGTTTATAATCAATTATTATTTAATTTTCATCTAAATGGCACACTTATGATAGGCAGCAGTGTCTCACCTCTATATCAGACTCATCATAAAGGATCAGCCTTTAGGTAGTAGATAGCTATAACGATCCATCAACCTTCAGTGGGATGGATGTGTGAACCTCAAACCATTCAATCCCAGAATATCACACACTGAAGCATCACAAACATAGGATGTTACATTAGTGTCTATTTCATATAAGAATTATACAACATGTTTTGGTATTTTCATTTTACCAAGCCTTTGTGAGTTTGCGAGATCTTTTCATTACCGTTTTATGTCATACTAGACATGCCTGTATTAAACAGGAACAACATGAATTAGGTGATTTTACAGAAAAACAAGTTTCTCGCGTAATAAATAATTATATAGTAGATTTTAACAAAACAAAATGTGCAGTACAACAAAAGAAAGCTAATTAATTTTGTCAAAAATTCTAAAGTAAATCCAGCAATGAATTATACATTTTGAACAGCACAATGTTATTTTTAATAGAATAATGACAAGTTTTATCAAATAACACTTATTCAATGTTCCCAAAACAGGAAAATAGGGTATACATTACATATCATGGTGGGAGATATTTTTGTCAATTTGACCAGATTTATAATACATAATATAACATGATGGGAGATTTTTTTGTCATTTTGACCAGATTTATAATACATAACATGGTGGGAGATATTTTTGTCATTTTGACCAGATTTATAATACACAACATGAAATAATTTCTGGCAGTCCTGAATCAATCAAATATATCAAACATGTGTGTATGTTAGCATCTAATACTTCACTCCCCGTGGGCGATCTCAAGCTCTGCTTGTCATTCTACAGAGATGAGCATGTATGATGCTTTGTCATCCCCCAGGAGGGAGAAATTACAAACTTTGGGAATGTGATAGCATCGGCGCCGCTACCGAAGCAACCCCTGGACAACTCTATACCGTACTGTGACATCATTTGACAGCTCCCTATCCACCACAGTGTTAAAAGCCGAAACAGAAACACTGCGAATGCGTAAATTATTGATGTTTTTCTAACAGGACGGGAATATGAATGACATGTTATTCATCTGAAACCAAACTTTTTAACTGAGAATCTGTTATTACATAACTATCCGACCACTTTGTCAGAGAAAAGTTTTGCAGATTTTTTTCATTGAGTAAAAGTGAAGAGACTTATCTAGCTGCTTCCTGTATTGAATTTGTATCATTATACTCCCATTTGTTTAACAGTACAGCTGACGTTGTGATCATGGTAAATAGACTGTACTGTTTTATGTACAGCATTTTTGTTAGAACAAATCTATATCATGAGGGAGCAAGGTTTGTGTCAAAACAACAATACTATTTCTCAACCTGCTCCTGTGCAAATAAATATTCTATTCATGCAAAGTCATGAATCTTTATTTCTTTGAGGGAGGAAGATTAACAGATTCTGAACCAATCAATGCAGTGACATCAGATGGTATTATTATTGGTAAGCCACATGGATGATTTCCATCTTGTTATGGCACAAATATAAACGAGAAGCAAAACTGATCTGGAGAATATTTGTAAAACAAACATTGAGAGAATATGTTTAAATGTTAATTTAAACATTTAAAAAAATCATAACAATTTTTAGAAGTTTCCATGAGGCATTTTTTGTCAGAATACATCATCCTCTAATTAGCAAAACTTTCAGGTTTTTTTTCCTTTTAGAACCTCCAAACATTTTTCTAAGCCATTAACACCAAACCTGACATGAACATTTTTAACAACTTTTGAATGTCAAAAATGCCACAATCACAGTTTTAATGTGAACAGGATAGATGAGAGGAGTGAGGAAGCTTGACCAGGCGTGGTAAACAATGTATTAGTTAGACAGCTGACCAACCCCTGTACATACTTCACTGATGGTTTTCTTACTAATTGACAAGCCGTCCTGGTCTTCATGGCATTGAAATATTACTTACAGCAACTCAGCCAAAAATAATGTTTCCTGTCAAACTGACTCAGATTTAAAAAATATTTTCCAGCTTGAGAATTTTTAGTGTTTTAAATGTTCTTGAATATT